ACTGTAACTTGGAGAGGTTATGGGGAAGGGGTTCATAAATATGCAAGAGTGAACGGAAAGGGAAGAAGGAGGTGGTTACTTCTTCCTGAAATGATTAAAAACGAATATCACAAAAAATACATTCCAGGATAAAGGTGATAAGCAAAATTTGGAAAAGAAAAGCACGGATCAAAAGGTTACTAAAGATCAAAATTTAATTTCAGTTCTTTTCGTTTATAATTTCGCACTTTTTCAGTTATTTCAGTTTCTTAATTTCATTTTATGAAAATTTTATCCTCAAATTCAATTTTTTGCAGAAATCAAAAGGTAAACAAGGCAGCGATAACAAAGGTGATAAAAAGGTACTGATAACAGCCATGTGATAATAATGAATGATAACAACAACAATAATAAATAATAGCAACAATAATAACAATAGTACCAAACCCGAATAAATTCAACAAACACCCGCTAAAAGATTGTCCCGATCCCATGCAGAATATTTCAGGCTGAAGGTTATAATAAGGACAAAGAAAAAGAGGACAATGGAAAAAACAAGATGGGTAGAGAGGATCAGAGATATAGACGGGAGCAAGGCAATGATGCGAAACAAGAGCGACAGAGAGACGAACCCGTCGATTGTGTATATCCCGAGGTGAAGGAACCAACTGAGTCGCAGAAGAAACGTCGTGAAGCCGCGCTCGAGAAAGATAAAAGAGAGAAAATCGAACAAGGATTCTATCAGGTTATGTGTTTTAATAATATTAACAATAAGAATAATGATAGACACTTTAATAATATGCTTTAATCAATTATAATAACAGTTGTAAAATTTAATCAACAACAAAATACCAATAGGAATCAGGTATTCAATCAATACAATAGTAACAATAGATAATAATGACAGCAGTAATCAATTACATAATGATAAATAAAGTAAAAAGTAATGACAGCATCAATAATGTTAAATATGATGATAAGTAATAAAATTCAAAATTCAGGAGCACTCAGATGAGGACGATACCCTCGAACCAATAAAGAGTCTTAAAGAGGAAAAAACTGACGAGAGCCAATCATCGAAAA